CTCGAACTCACAGAGATCCGCCTGGCTCTGCCTCCCGAGTGCTGGGATTAAAGGCGTGCGCCACCACCGCCCGGCTCTCTCTCTTTTTAATATAGGTCAGGGACCTGGGCAAAAGCGTAGTCAATAAAGTGCTTGCCTTATAAGCATTCAGACCCGAGTTCAATTCCTAGAACCCATGTCGGGAGAAAAGTATTTGGAAATGGAGACCAGAGGACCCCTGGGGCTCACTAGCCAGTCTAGTCTACTTGATGAGATTCAGGCCTGTGACAGACAGACAGCCCCAGGCCCTGAAGAAAGACACCTAAGAATGGCATCCTCTGACTTCTACCCATATGGGCGCACACATGTGCACCTGTACACACACACACACACACACACACACACACACACACACACACACAGAGAGAGAGAGAACGCAAACGAACACCTGTTTTACTTCCTCCCACGCTCGCGGCTGATCCTCCAACAAGAAGGACCACATTCACTTCTGTAGGAACTAAGTGTCGTTTCTCTTTGCTGATTCCCTGGCTTGTCATCCAGGGACTCCCAGGGCCACTGTCACCCACTCTGTGTGTGTCACCCACTCTGTGTGTGTCACCCACGTTGAATCATGCCATCTTCCCAGCTCCTTTGTCTCCAGTGTCTCTGCAACTGCCTCATCGACTGAGATCTGCTCACCCCTCGCTGCCTCTCAGCCAGAGCCTCTCCCTCCTTCGCTGCCCCTAGAGCAGCTGCAGGCATCCTTCTTGCGCATCTCGTGGTACTGTGTGAAACACACGGCTGTCTCCACGCCTGCCTTTCTACTACATTACTCATCTCCGCATCTCTTGCTGTCGGTTAGATGATCGTATAATGGTCCAGTGGCGTCCCAGTCCTCATTCCCGCAAACTGGGTATCATTCTTTTTCATCATCTCTCTCGTCCACATCTAATTAACCAAGTCCTGTGCGTGTTTATCTCCACCGTGTCTCTCAGGTCTTTCCAGCCCACCTCTGCCTTAGTCATGGCCCTTGTTGCCTCTGCCTGGACCATTACAGTGGTTTCCAGACTGGCCTCCCTCCTGAGAGCCTCCCTCCTGCCAATCTGTTCTCTATACAGCAGCTGCAGGGATCCATCTAAAGTGCAGACCTGATGTCCCTCATTGAAAGCCTTCAGTGGCTGTCTGTTGCCCTTAGGATAAACCCCAGACTGATGTCCAAGTCCTGAAGTATACAATCTTTCCAATTCCCACCATCATCGCTAGATACCTCATTTATCCCAAGTTAGCGTTCCTCATGCTTCTAAAGCATGACAAGCCCTTTCCAACCTCAGGGCCTTTGTTCATGCCATTCTCTGCCAGGAGTGATCTTATGTCCTCTTCCTCCTCCTCCCCTTCCTCCTCCTCTCCCTTTCCTCCTCTCTTCCTCCTCCCCCCTTCCTCCTCCTCTTCTTCTCCCCCTGCAAGTCCATGCTGGGGATAAAACCTAGGGCCTATTGCAAGCTAGGTGGGCACCAAACCATTGAGCCGTCCCCCATCCGTCATTGACCTACAAGACACCCAGAAGCTCCATGAGAGCAGGGTTGTGGTTTGCTTATTTCTGTTACCCCACATCTAACACAGCCCCTGACTTAAACGAGTAATGTTGACTATATGAATCACATTTTGCTGTTTCTTTTTTTCTCCCGACAAAAGAAAATATGTCTGCCCAGTATGGTGGCATGTATCTGTAATCTCAGCACTCAGGAGGCAGAGACTGGATTGAAATTTCTGTTTGTTTATTTTTGAGACCGGGCCTCACTATGTAGCCTTGGCTGGCCCTAAACTCACTATGTAGACCAGGTTGGCCTTAAACTCACCAGAGATCTACCTGCCTCTGTCTCCTGAGTGCTGAGATTAAAGATATGCACCACCACCACCCCCAGTTTGGGAACTGAGATTTTGAGGCCAGTCTGGCCTATGTAACAAGATACTGTCTACAAAACCAAAAAACAAATAAACAGAAAATTAGAAAACAGCTGTGTCAGGATTTGAATCCAGGTGCCTAGGACCAAGGAGTCTTCAGTAGTGGCCATGAGGGAAATTCCAAGTGGGAGGCCCTCTTGAGCCCCCTCTGTACGAAGAGGTGCTCTTGGAGTCCCATGACAGAGCGCTTCCTCATTTACTCTGCTGTCAATATTTCCTGCTGGGCACTAAGGGTCCAGATATATAGATTCAGTTCAAAAGCTTAACCTTGACAATGGAGTCAGCACCCGGACTGTACCTTCAGACCTCCACACACCTGCGGGCAGACCCCTTTAGTCAGTCGATAAACGCCTTTATAAGATTGGGCTGTATGGAAGCTTGTAGGACGCTTTCTTTCTTTTCTTTTCTTTTTTTTTTGAGTCAGGGTTTCTCTGTGTGGTTTTGGTGCCTGTCCTGGATCTCGCTCTGTAGACCAGGCTGGCCTCAGCCTCACAGAGATCCGCCTGACTCTGTCTCCCGAGTGCTGGGATTAAAGGCGTGCAGCACCACCACCCGGCAGAACACTTTCTTAATTAGTGATTGATGAGGGAGGGCCCAGCCCACTGTGGGTGGGGCCATCCCTGGGCTGGTGGTCCTGGGTCCTATAGGAAAGCAGGCTGAGCAAGCCATGGGGAGCAAGCCAGTAAGCAGCACCCCTCCATGGCCTCTGCATCAGCTCCTGCCTCCAGGTCCCTGCCCTGCTTGAGTTCCTGCCCTGACTTCCTTCGATGGTGAACAGTAATGTGGAAATGTAAGCTGAATAAACCCTTTCCTCCCCAAGTTGCTTTGGTCATGGTGTTCATCATAGCAATAGTAACCCTGACTAAGACAAGTTGGTACCAGGATAGTGGGGTGTTGCTGTGAGACACCTGATCACGTGTTTTGGGAGGATTGTAGAAGGAGCTTGGAATTTTTGGCTGGAAAAGCCATTGAGTGTTGAGAGCTCAGTGAACTGTTCTGCAGGAGCTTGGAAGATAAGAGTGTTGAGAGCAGTGTGGATGATGGAGGCCTGGCTCGTCATGTTTCAGAGGGAAGTTTAAAGACTCTATTGGGGCCATTTGTCATTTTGATTAAGGTTCCGTGGTTCTGGTTAGCCGGGGTTGAAGTATCAGCTGTAATTAACAAGATACTAGAACTATTGAAATGAAACCTTTGCTTTTCTAAGATAGTTGATGCTGGCCAGCTGGAGCTAAGAAATTAGCGGTGATTAAGAAGAAACCAGCATCCCTGAGGTGAAGTCTTCTGGGAAGTGTTTCCTCGGGGTCAGCACACAGAAGCTGTGTTCCAGAGGCAGCCAAGGTTGCACCTCATGCTGGCAGCTGAACTTGGTAATGTAAGAGTCACCCAGGAGGTACTGGTTTTGAAGGCATGAAGGGGTTATGGAGAGCAGCTGGAGCAGGGCTGGAGTCCCTGAAGAGAGAGCCCAGGAGAGGCTATTGGTGAAAGTGCAGCCCAGTTGCAGCAGAGACCCAGCATTTTGGAGATGCCAGTACCAAGAACAGCAGCAGCCATGGAGTGGAGCCAGCCGGAGCCTAGAAGACAAGCTGTGTGTGCTGCAGAGGGCGGAGCCGGAGAAGTGACCCAGGCCCTTGGGAGGAGCCCAGAAGACTGTGAGTAGACCCCAGACAATGACTACGGAGTTATTTATATAGTTGGAGTTTGGTTTTGCTTTGATGTGATTGTGACGGCCCTGTTTCTTCCCTCTTGAAGTAAGAAAGTATTTATTTTCTAGGAGCTCACAGTTGAGAGCCTGAATTTTTAGAGAGATTTTAGGTTCTAAAAGAGGCTTTGGGTTCTTAAATAGACCGAATTTTAAATGCTTGCATTTGTAAAGACCGTGGGACTTTAAAGACTTGGAATATTTAACATTGTGATGTTCATGTTAATGTGTGCTCTTGGGGATGAACAAGAAAGGAAAGGTTGTGGCCTCACAGTGATGTGTTTGTGTGTCACGTTGACAAGGGGTCAGTTGTGCTGACTAAGTTTATGTCAGTTTGACACAAGCAGAGTCATCAGAGGGGAGGAAGCCTCAGTTGAGAAAATACCTCCATAAGATCGGGCTGTTCTGCAAGCTTGTAGAGCATTTTCTTAATGATTGATGTGGGAGGGCCCAGCCCCTATTGTAGGTGGTGCCATCCTCTAGGCTGGTGGTCCTGGGTTCTATAAGAAAGCAGGATAAGCAAGCCTTGAGGAGCAAGCCAGTTAACAGTACCTCTCTATGGCCTCTGCATCAGCTCCTGCCTCCAGGTTCCTGTCTGGTGTGAGTTCCTGTCCTGACTTCCTTCAGTGATGGACTACTATATGGAGGTGTAAGTCAGATAAATCCTTTCTTCCCCAACATGCTTGTGGTCATGGTGTTTCATCACAACAGTGAGAACTCTAACTAGGACACAGTCCTGATTTCCGCAGGACATCATTCTTTCATTTTATTTTTTAGACAGGAATTCACTATATAGCCTTAGCTAGCTTGGAACTCACTGTGTAGACCAGACTTGGCCTTGAGCTCAGAGAGATCTACGTCCCAGGTGCTGGGACTAAAGGCATGTGCTGCCCTGGGCTATTTTTCCTCCACATAAGATGTGATGAAATGGGATTGCAACTGTGGGTCTGTGATTGAGTGCTTGGCTACTAATCACACACACACACACACACACACACACACACACACACACACACACACACACAGCAATAATCTCTGCTGCCCGGAGCTGTCCTGAGAATTAGGTGAAATGACTTGAAAATTCTTTATTAGCTGCAAAATGCTTTATAAACTGAAATAATGAGCCAATATCTGATATTTTTGACCAGAAACAGATGAATAAAAAAAAATCAACAAACAAATTCCATAATCCCCTTCGTTTTGTCTCTCTCCCCCTCTCTCCCTCTCCTCTCTCTCCTCTCTCTCCCTCTCTCCCTCCCCCCTCTCCCCCTCTCTCCCTCTCTCCCTCTCTCCCTCTCTCCCTCTCTCCCTCTCTCCCTCCCCCCCCTCTCTCTCTCTCTCTCTCACACACACACACACACACACACACACACACACACACACACACACAGTCAGACACTCACAATCTATTGGGCACAGTAGAGAACACCTATAATCTCAAACTCCTAAACCTGAAAGCCTGAGTTTTCCAGACTTTTAGCTCTCTGCCCCATCCCCACCCAAGTCTTCTGTGTCCAGATCGCACCCAACCACTCCTCCCGCAGTGACTCCTGAGAACCTTTCTTTGCTCATGCTGTGTCCATAATGGGTCGTCTGGGGCTTGGCTCCAACCTTTGCGTCTTTTAATTTGATTTTTGTATTTTATTTTATGTGTGTGACTGTAGTAATCAGGGCTCTCTAGAACAGTGATTCTCAACCTGAAGGTTACAACCTCTTTCGGAGTTGAACCATCCTTTCACAGGGGTCCCCCTAAGACCATCGGAAAACCCAGGTATTTACATTACAATCTGTGACAGTGGTAAAGTTATAGGTATGAAGTAGAAACAAAAAATAATGTTATGGTTGGGGGTCACCACAACATGAGGAACTGTATTCGAGGGTTGCAGCGTTAGGAAGGTTGAGAAACCACGGCCCTAGAGGAACAGAACTGATAGAATGAATCTGTATTAAAAAGGGATTTACTAGAGTGGCTTATAGCCTGTGGTCTCCGTAGTCCAACAATGGCGTCTTCCAGCGGAAAGTCCGAGGATTTGGGAGCTCTTCAGTCCAGGAGACGGGATGTCTCAGCTGGAGCCCCAGGGGATTCCTAGAGAGCTTCTGGTCTTCAGTCTGCACTGGGATCCCGAAGAAGTCGGCTCTAATGTGAGGGAAGGAAGGCCTCCGCAGCAGGGTAGATGAACTTGCCAGTGAGAGTGAGGGCAGGCAGGCAAAGAGCAACAGCTTCCTCCATGTCCTTTCATGTGGGCCGCCACCAAAAGACGTGGCCCAGTTTTAGGGTGGGGCTTCTCACCTCAAAACAATCCAGTCAAGAAAATCCTTCAGAGGGGTACCCAGTCACTTGGATTTTAGTTGATTCACCAAGACCAGCCATCCCAGCCCGAACCTGGTGTGTGTGCATACCTAGTATCCACACAGGCCGAAAGAGGGGTCAGATCCTCGGGAACTGGAGTTATAGACAGTTGTGAGCTGCCATGTGGGTGCTGGGAGTTGAACCTGGGTCCTCTGGAAGAGCAAACAGTGCTCTTAATCACTGAGCCATCTCTCTAACCACTAAGTTTTTCTCTTAAAGTATGTGTATGTATGTATGTATATGTGGTGTGTGTGTGTGTGTGTGTGTGTGTATGTATGTGTATGTGGTATGTGCGTGTGTCTGTGTGTATGTCTGTGTGTGTATGTGTGTGTGTGTGTGTGTGTATATATATATATATAGTGTGTGTGTGTGTGTAAGCGTGTGTAAGCCAGAGGAGGATGTCGGGTTTCCAACTTTGTTCCCCTCAGTTACCTGCCAGTGAACCTGGATCTGGACATTTTTCAGGCAGGTTGGCTGGCCAGCAAGCCCAGGTGATCCTCCTGTCTCAGCATCCCTCTCCTTAGGCCTGCCTGCACATGTGGCCACCCCAGGTTTTACATGGATACTGCGGATCTGAATGCAGGCCCGGCATCCCTCTTACCCATGGGGCCATCCTCTGATCTCCACGAAGCATCCACTTCCCTTTACAGAAATGTTTGTTTTCTTTTCCGATCATATCAATCTGTCACCTACAATTGCGTGATTAGCGACTGATAACTACGTCGATTCAGCTGACTGGTAAACGAAAAGTCACATCTGAAACCAGCAGCTGGTCCTTCGGCTCCTGTGGGCATCGCATGTCACTCTGAAACTTACAGTAGACAAGAAGGGTGTCCCTTGATCTCGTGATCCAGTAAATTCTTTTGTTTTTTGTTTTGTTTTTCCAAATCTCATTACAGATGGTTGTAAGCCACCATGTGGGTGCTGGGAATTGAACTCAGGACCTCTTGAAGAGCAATCGGTGCTCTTAACCTCTGAGCCATCTCTCCAGGCCCCAGTGAGCTCTTTTGGTTGATGTTTGGTTTTTGATTTACGTGGATTCATTTGCGTATGTATACGTGTGTGTAGACACACATGCCGCAGTGTGCGTTTGGAGGTCAGTTCTCCAGCGTGGGTCCCAGAGTCTAACTGAGGTCTCCAGGATTTGCAGCAACTGTCTTGCCGGCCCTTGGCTTGTGTTTTGGAGACAGGGTCTCCGGTAGCCTGAAGTACCATAAAAATCTCTATGTATCTGAGGCTAAGGTCCTCCTGCTTCCTGCCTCCCTCCCAAGTACCGGCGTTACACACACACACACACACACACACACACACACACACACACACACACGTGGGCACGCACACCATCATGCTCAGCTCTTGCAGTGATTTCTTACTTGAACTGAGTTGGTTAGTCCAGCAAACTTCTGCTATACAAGCACAAACAAGCCTTTGCCATGGATAGTTGGGGTGACCAGAGCTAGCTAACTGTTTGCCCGCCCTCCCTCCCTCCCTTCCGTCCCTCCTTCTCCTCGTCTTTCCCTTTCAGTGTTAGGAATTGGACCCAGGCCCTCACACATAACATGCAAACACTCTCCCACTGAGCCATCCTCTCCAGCCCTCTTTTCATATTTTCTGTTGAGACAGGGGATCTCTAGTTTGCCCAGGCTGGCCTTGAACTCTCCATTATCATGCTTCAGCCTTCCAAGTAGCTGAGCTCGCAGAACTGAGCTGCTGTGCCCGGCTGTCCTTCTCTTACCTAGGTTTTCAGTCCCGAGACACAAATGCTCCTCCTGTCTCAGGCTCCCGAGAACCTAGGACCGCAGAACACATGCCGTTGCTCTGGCTTCTGCTGTTCTTATCCTTCATTTATGTCTTCTACGTTTTTTATTTATTTTTATTTTTGTGGTTTATGTTGTTTTTATTTGCTTTGAGTCAGGGCCTCCTGCAGCCCAGGCTAGCCTCAAACTCATTATGTCCCCGAAGTTGGCCTTGATTCCTGGTCTTCCTGCCTCCACCTTCCAAGTGCTGAGATTATATATCGGGAGTGCCAGCACACTCTGCTTACAGCTTCTGGATTTTGTTTTCACACCTTTAAAGTGGGTAGGAGTTTTGCTTCATGCTAGGGGTAGGGGTGGGGACATGCGCTCTACTGACTGAGCTGGGCCCCTAGAAATTTGTTGTTGTTGTTTTTCTCCTTCTAACTTTTCTTTTTCAAGACTTTAAGAGGACAGGATTCCATAAGCTGAACGCTAAAAGAATGATAACAAACTTCAAATTCCAGCAGTCCAGCCTTTTGTAACGGGCTGGGCATGACACAACGTGCCTAATTGAGATAATGACAGTGGGGGAAATCTTGGTGTCAGGAAGTTCTCAGTATGCCATGGACCAGCCACAGCAGCATGACCTGGGAGTTGGTGAGAAATGTAAAGTCGGGGGCTCCACCCCAAGGCCCGCTTCCCCGGATACTGAGGGAGGAGGGGCGGGGGAGCCCAGCGGTGTGTGTTCCGACAAGCCCTCTGAGCATGCTGGAGCGCCCTCAAGTTAGCAGATGTTCACATCACAGGCCTGTGCACCACTCAGAGGCTGTGTGATCTCAGACAGGTCATTGCGTCCCTCTAAACATAAGTGACGACAAACCTACATGACGGAGTCACTGTGGAGGTTGAGAAAGATGGTCCACGCAGAGTGAATGCATCCAGCGGGCACCCACTACATGCTAGGGATGTTTACTAACCCCGGGAGCTCTGTACCGGCAGCCGAATTTGGGCAGCAAACATTTGGAAAAAAAGCAGAAAGATATTAGAAAGTTAACATCTTCCTGAGTGAGCATGTTGACCTCATAAATGTGCCCAAGTAGAAGTCCCTGCAGTATAACCACTGGCCACTTTACAGATGTGGAAACTGAGGCTGAAAGACAGCTGTGAAGCCGCATGGCTGGGACACATCCATACCCTGTGCCCTACCTTACCTCAGCCTCAAGCAGAGGCAGGCCGACTGTCTGCTTCCCAGGACTCTCTCCAAACCATCTGCCCTTCAGAATCTGCCGGTCCCTGCCCCTTGGCTGGACTAAAGCAATTGCAGCAGGGTTGTGGTCAGGGTTCTACAGGTCATGGGTCAAAGGTGTCAGGCCTCTTCTGGGGCGGAGGCTCAGGCGGTAGAGGGCTTGCCCAGCATACACAAAGCCCCGGGTTTGATCCCGGGCATCATATAAACCAGGCACGTGGGCTCACCCTGTAAGTCCAGCACGGGGAGACTGAATCAGGAGAATGAGGAGTTCAAGGTCTGCGTAGACTACATACCGAGTTCAAAGCCAGCCTGAGCCTCACTGTGTCTTTATTCTAGCAAGTTCTATTATTGGTTTCTGTATGTTTTAGGAAATGAGATTCCGGGGAAATGTTTGTTTTTGTTCAAATGGGTTAAATAATTAGATAGGAGGATCAAGAATTCTATGTCAAGACAGGTGTGGTGGCCCATGCATGTCTTTTTAATCCCAGTACTTGGGAGACAGAGGCAGGCAGGTCTCTGGGGCTTTGAGGCCAGCCTGTTGTGCCTAGTGAGTTCCACGCTAGCCAGAGCTGTAGAGTCAGGCCCTGCCTCAAAATAAAGTAAAATAAAATAAAATAGTAACTGTGTGTGTGAAAAAGTGAAAGGTTTGGGCTGAGAAGTTGACTCAGCTGGTGAAGGGATTTGCCACCAAGCCTGATGGCCTGAGTGTGATCCTCAAGACCCACATGGTAGAAGAGAACTGATCCCTGATCCCTGTAAGTTGTTTCTGGCCTTCATACTCAAACTAGAGCTTGTATGCATTCACGCACGTGCTCTTGTATACACACACACACACACACACACACACACACACACACACACACTGAATGAATAAATAAATAAGTAAATAAAGGATGGATGGATGGATGAATGGATGTAAGAAGAAGTTTAGGTTTCTAGGGTTGGAGGTGTATGTGGCTCAGCTGGTTGAGCTAGCAAGGCTTTATCCCTTGCACGCTATAAACTGGGCATGGTGGCACACACCTGTAATCCCAGCACTCAGGAGACAGAGCCAGAAGGATCAGAAATTCAAATCCTTGGTTATATGGGGTGTTTAAGGCCAGTCTGGGCTATGTGAGCTGAGCATAATAGTATACACACACACACACACACACACACACACACACACACACACACACACTCAACACTTGGGAAGTGAAGGCAAAAAGATCAGGAATTCCAGGCCAGCCTGGTTACAGGAGACTGGGTCTCAAAAAGGCTAACTAAGACACATTATACAAAAATTCTCAAAGAACAGGTCCGGTATGGCGGTGCACGCCTTTAATCCCAGCACTCACGAGACAGAGGCAGGCAGATTTCTGTGGGTCCAAAACCAGCCAGGTCTAGTTCCGGAACAGCCAGGGCTACAGAGAAACCCCATCTTGGAAAAGCATACAAAAACAAACAAGTAAAATTCTCAAAGAACAAATAAGTAACCATAAAGGAAAAACAACCTAAATAAATAAATAAATAAATAAAGCCAGGTTTCTTGCAGTAGAAAACTTTGGAAAGAACGAACTTCTTCCAGCCTAGTGAACACACGATGTGTGCGGTCCTTGTCGCCTCGAACAAGGAGACTGAATACCTTTGCCCCTTCCACTTCTGAGCCCTTAATTCCCTGGGTTGTCTTGGGAACAGACAGCCCTCCTTAAGTCTTAATTTCTGCATCTATAAGTCGTGACTGTAATGTCCCCACTAAATATATATTACACACACACACACACACACACACACACACACACACACACACACACAAACATTTTGTTTATGAATTTGTGTGTACCCCAGTGTGGAAGTTAGAACACAACTTTTGGGGGGCACTTCTGGTCTCTGCTTCTGACTTGCGAGTTCTGGGACTTGAACTCCAGGCGTCAGGCTTACCCGCAGACACCCCTACTCACTGATCCATTCCACCACCTGGATGTGTATTTCACATGCTTTCTCCAGTCTTCTGTAGAGTTTGTTGAATCTTTTCCTAGTCTGTCTGTCTCTCTGTCTCTGTCTCTCTCTGTCTCTCTCTCTCTCTCTCTCTCTCTCACACACACACACACACACACACACACACAAAGACATTTTTGAGGCCTCTTGTTTCTCAGAGGTTTTATTTATAGGCCGCTCCTCATTGTGAACGTGAAAAGGAGAAAGCGCAGCCTGGGGTAGACCTTTCATGTGTAAATCAGGCCGGCCTGGAGCTCGGGGTCACTGGGAGCGGGATTTCACTCTTAATTACTCCGAGAGAAAGCGACGGGGCGGGTGGGAGGCCCCTGCTCCGCTCCCCTGGGCAGGGCTGCTCCAGGCCCCTCGCTCCTGGTCCTTGCTCTCCGCAAAGCTGGGCTGGGCATGGTGCAGCTGCCCCTGAGCGAGCCCCAAGTGGCTTTCTTTAGGGGCAAGAAGTTTGCAAGAGTGGGAGGTATCAAGGATGCTGCTGATGGGCCAGGGAAAGGGGAGGAGGTGTGTATGTATGTGTGTGTCTGAGTTACTGTTTAGTTTTTTTTTTAAAGTCTCTGTTTCTTTTCCAAAGTACAAATACCATGTTCTAGGGGGAAAAAATACGGTAAAATTTCCATTGTGTAGTTAGCATCTTTGACTCCAGGGTGAGTGAGGAGTATTTTTTAAACCTGTTTTTCCCTTTACTTTTTTTTTTTTTTTTTCCCCCATTGCTGCCTTTGGAACCCAGGGCCTCAGCCCTCTGCCACTGAGCCACCCTGGTAGCCTTAAAGTTCTTTTTTGTTTTCTTAGATTTCTTTTTATCATTTTTAAGTTATATGTGTTAGGGGAGTTGTGCGTGTGAGTCCAGAACAGGGTGATGAATCTGCTGGAGCTGGAGTCACAGGCAGTTGTGAGCTGCCCTATGCCGGTGCTGGGAATCTAATCCAGTCCTCTTGGAGAGGGGTCCCTGCTCTTATCGGGGAGCCGTCTCTCCAGTTCATAATCCTGATTTTGAAAGCAAAGTGCTGTCTCTTTTCCTCTATTGAATGAAACGTTTAGAAACTTCACCTGCTGTAACACAGCCCCCTCAGCCCCCACTAGCCCCGCCCCGCCCCCACCCCAGAGTTCTCCACTTTTTTTCTCTTTCAGTTCTTTTCTGTGATGTTGCAGACCTACCCCAGGGCCTTCTACATGCTAAGCCCATGTAGAACTGTAAGAGCAGCTCCATCCCCAGCATGGATCCTGTTTTGGGGATGCGTCTTTCAAATGCTTCAAACCCTTTGCTACGTGATTGTCTACGAAAGCCTGTTTGCGTTTCGTTTGTTCATTTGAGAGAGGGTCTCACCATGTAGCCTTGGCTGACTTGGAACTTACAGAGATCCTGGCATCTGCTTCTGCATCCAGAGTACTGGGATGACAGACATGGACCCCCGTACCCAACTACTTGCTCTTTTATTAAAAAGTAAGTAGCTGGTCTTGGTTCTTAGGTGGTAACTTTGGCATTTGCCACCACCACCTGGCTTATGGATCTGTTTCTAGATTCTTCTAGTAATAGGTCTCTTGCCGGGTGGTGATGCACACCTTTAATCCCAGCACATGGGAGGCAAAGGCAGGCAGATCTCTATGAGTTCAAGGCCAGTCTGGGCTACATAACAAGACCAGCCAGTGTGATACAATGAGACTCTGCCTAATAAAATAATAAAACAAAAAAATCTCTCTGTCCCCTCACTAATAATGAGTTTTTATTGCTAAGGGTTTTTTCCACTTAAAAAAACTTTTTTTTTTTAAATGTTTTTAGATGATTTGTGTGCATGTGTGTTTTGTGCAGGGTGTGTGTGTGTGTGTGTGTGTGTGTGTGTGTGTGTGTGTGTGTGTGTGTGTGCAGTGCTCTCAAAGGTCAGAAGAGAGCGTCAGATCACCTGGAACTGGAGTTGCAGGTGGTTGTGAGGGGCTGTGAGGGTGCTGGAACCGAACCCGGGTCCTCTGCCAGAGCAGCCAGTGCTCTCAACTGCTGAGCCAGCTCTCCAGCTCCACATTTTTTATTGTAGAAGGGTATCATGAACTTGTAGTAATTTTAGCAGCCCACTCCGAGGCTCTAGTTGTGACACCAAGAACTTCAGGTAATGCCTGGTGCTTGCTGAAGAAGAAAAAAAAAATCATCCCTGGTTGAAAACACCACATTAGAGGGTTTTAAATATTAATCATAGCTATTTTAAGTCCCTAGCTAGAGCGTTATGAAAGTGTGTTGTTCTCGAGCTGTAGACTGTCTCCCCTTTCCATGTGCCTTGTTGAAAACCACATGTCTTGTTCAGAACAGCTGTTCACAGAAAGGTCTCTCTCTCCACTGTTCTCACAGGTAAGAGCAGCTCCCTATGTCTGAACTGCTTGTGCTAAGGATGTTTTGTTCCTTCCGGGACTCTGAAATGGTGGTCCGCACCAGGTAAGGCTGCCTGTGTGACCCAGCCTCAGGCAAAAGCCCTCAATAAAGAGTGGCTGAAGAGCCGGGCACGCCTTTAATCCCAGCACACGAGAGGCAGAGCCAGGCGGATCTCTGTGAGTTCGAGGCCAGCCTGGGCTACTAAGTGAGTCCCAGGAAAGGTGCAAAGCTACACAGAGAAACCCTGTCTCGAAAAACAAAACAAAACAAAACAAAACAAAACAAACAAAAAAAAAGTGGCTGAAGAGCAAATGGTGGGCAGCGGCTCATATCTCTCAGATGATGATGTCACAGTCATTGCTGTGACAGTTGATGTCCCAAATGACATCACTGGCGAGGGGCGTTGGAGCAATGAGTGTGTCTTGTTTGCCCTGGATTTTGCCTAATGTGCCTTTTCTCTTTGTAGATTTTGCCGTGTGTCATTTCACTGGGAGACTCCTGGTGACTTATCGAGGCTTGGAGGCAGAGGGATTGATAGAGCGGCAGCTGAAAAAAATAACATTTATGCCTAGATAGGCATGTCCTTGGCAAAGCCTTTCATATGGAGCTTTAAGGTGATCCAGTTAGGGACTTAATGACTAAATGAGACAGGAGATTCTAGATTTAAAAAGTAAGTCTGAGCCGGGCGGTGGTGGCGCACGCCTTTAATCCCAGCACTTGGGAGGCAGAGGCAGGCGGATCTTTGTGAGTTCGAGGCCAGCCTGGTCTAGAGAGCGAGATCCAGGAAAGGCGCAAAGCTGCACAGAGAAACCCTGTCTCGAAAAACCTAAAAAAAAAAAAAAAAAAAAAGTAAGTCTGGCCAGGTATGGTGGTGCACATGTTTAATCCCAGCACTGGGGGGCAGAGGCAGGTAGATTTCTGTGAGTTCAAGGCCAGCTTGGTCTACAAAGTGAGTTCCAGGACAGCCAGAGCTACACAGTGAGACCCTATCTCAAACAAACAAACAAACAAACAAAGGTAGTTTGGGGGATGGCCTTGCTCAGTGAAAGAGCATATATTCAGTGTGGATAGACTTTGAATTCACTCCCTAGCACCCCCAAATCATGTGCCATAGGTAAGTAGAAGGAGATTCAGAAATCTATACCATATTAAATAACAAGTCACATTCCAAACCAAATGATTCTACATCTTTTACATAAAAACATTTTTATTACCTTTATGTGTGTGTGTATACACATGTACAGGCCAGAGGACCACCATGGGGACTGGTTCTCCACTTCCATCACATGGGTTCCAGGTATTGAGCTCAGGTCCTCAGGTTTAGAAGATGTCATCTTTACCCACTGATCTCCAGCACCTTGCAAACATAATTTATCAGTTCATTAAAAAAAAAAAACAACTGCCGGGCGGTGGTGGCACACGCCTTTAATCCCAGCACTCGGGAGGCAGAGCCAGGCAGATCTCTGTGAGTTCGAGGCCAGCCTGGTCTACAGGCTAGTCCAGGACAGGCTCCAAAGCTACAGAGAAACCCTGTCTCAAAAAACCAAAAAAAAAAAACCAAAAAAAAAAAAAACTTGTTTGCAGAGGACTTGGTTTCAGTTCCCAGCACCCACATGGTGACTCTGAGTCATCTGTAACTCCAGAACTAGGGGATATGGAACCTTCTTTTGACCTTAGAGTACCAGGCACACATGTGGGTATACAGGCATACATGCATGGAAAACACTCACACACAGAAAAATCAATACATTTTTTTCCTTGTTTTTGTTTTTGAGAAGCGTTCATTTGCTCTGTAGACCAAGCTGACCTCAAACTCCCAGAGATCCATCTGCCTCTGCCCTCCTGAGTGCTGAGATTAAAGTTGTGTATCACCACCTCCGGCTCTACCTACCTACCTACCTACCTACCTACCTACCTACCTATTATCTATCTATCTATCTATCTATCTATCCATCCATCTACCTATCTGCATGTGTCTATATATATGTGTGTGTGTGTCGCGCACGCATACACACACACACACACACACACACACACACACACACACACACACGCTGGGGATATGGCCTAGCAGTTAAGAACACCTACTGCTCTTGCAGAGGACTGGGGTCCTATTCCCAGCACCACATGGTGGCTCACAGCCACCTTTAACACCAGTTCCAGGAAACCCAATGCCCTCTCCTGGCCTCCATAGGCACCTGTATGAATGTGGTGTACATAAACTCACAGAAGCACACATATATTCACGTAAATAAACTAGGAAATGGACAGCGGTTGAGGCATGCATGTTGCTTTTTTCTTTAAAAATTTTCTTTTATATGTGTGTATATTTTACCTGTCTGTGTGCTTGTGCGTCATGTGCGTACCTGATGGTTGCAGAAGCTAGAAGAGGGTGTCAGATACCTGGAACTAGAGTCACAAGAGGTTGTGAGCCACCATGTGGGTGCCGGGGATCCAATCCAGGTCCTATGAAAAGCAACGAGTGCTCTTAACTGCTGAACCGTCTCTCCAGCCTCAATATGTGTGTGAGTCTGTTATGTATTCATTAATGGAAATGAGATGTTCATTAAATGAACCCAGTTTATTAAATACAGTATCAAAGACAACCACTGTTAGTTTTTAGTTCACTCTCTTCTGAGGTTATACTGGGAATGGAACCCAGGGCCTCTCCCCACCACTGAGCCCCATATCTCCAGCCCCCACCCTCTCTATGTGTATGTATGTATGTATATATGTGTATCTATTTAAATTTTATTTTATATGTGTGGGTGTTTTGTCTGATTATATGTCTGTCCCACCAAAGCCTGGGAAGGAGATCAGATCTCCTGGGCCTAGAGTTATAGACTCCAGTTGTGAACTGCCAAAGGATCCAAACCCAAGTCCTTTGTGCAAGCATCCAGTGCTCTTCACCATTTACACATACTTCTTTTTGAGGAGGGGTCTCCTGTAGCCCAGGCTGTTTCTGAACCTGCTGTGTAGCCAAGGAAGGCCTTGAATTCCTGATTTTACTGCCTCCACCTCCCAAGCGATGGGATTATTTGGTGTAGAGCACCACCACGCCCAACCTCTCTCTCTTTGTAACTATGAAACCCAGAGTGACCTTGACCTCACAATTGTCCTGCTTCAACATTCTGAGGAGTTAGGATTATAGGTGTGTAGTACAATGCTATTTTAATATATGTATTTAATATATATTTTAATGATATGTTTATTCATTTTGTGTTTATTTGCAAGTGCCCTGGGGCCATTGCATGCACATGGAGTTAGGGTGACAGTTTAAGATTCTCTCCTCTGATGTTGGCCCAGGGCATTGGACTCAGCTTGATGGCCTTTACACACTGAGCCATCTCTTTAGCACCCCCTTTTAATTTTTTAAAATTTATTTTTATTTTATGTTCATTGGTGTTTTGTCTGCATGTATATCTGGGTGAGGGTGTCAGAAGCCCTGGAACTGGAGCTACAGACAGATGTGAGCTGCCATGTTGGGGCTGGGAATTGAACCTGGGTCCTCTGGAAGAGCATCCAGTGCTCTTAACTGCTGAGTCCTCTCTCCACTATTGAAGGTTCTTTGCTAGGGTCTCAGCCTAATAAATGTAGTCCTTTCCCCTCATCAAGGAAACTTCTCTTTGCACCAGACAGAAACCCACAACCAATCAAAATGCAGCGTTGTGGATCCCAGTCCCAGTGCATAAATGTACATAACAACCCCTGCGCCTGAGGCTCAGGGACTCGGGGACCATCACAAAAGGGTCAGAGAAACTGTGAGAGCCAGAGGAACCCCTATGAGATTGTGTCTCCTAGGAAGCTGCACCCATGCAGCCTCACCAACATGACTGCATAAGCATGAGATGAACAAGGTCAACAATAATAGACAGGATAACGTGGATGAGGCGGGAGGCACGGAGACCACGGGGCCTCCACCCTACACAAAGAACTACAGGCAACTAAGGATGCTGAGTGTGGGAGAAACAGTCTTCCCCAGGGAAGAGCACACCATTGGGGCACACCCAAATGCTCAGCCCTGGAAACACATGCAAGTAATATTATATAGATTGAAGAGGATGCATTTATATATGTAGGAATGTGTGTATGTATATGTGTATATACATATATATATGAGCAATTAATGAAAAAAAGACCATGAATTTGAAAAAGAACAAGGGAGATATATGGGTTTTGAAGGGGGAAAGGAAAGGAGAAATTATGTAATTATAACCTCAAAAATAAAAAAAATTTAAAAAAGCAAATGGGCCGGGCGGTGGTGGCGCACGCCTTTAATCCCAGCACTTGGGAGGCAGAGCCAGGTGGATCTCTGTGAGTTCGAGGCCAGCCTGGTCTCCAAAGCGAGTTCCAGGAAAGGCGCAAAGCTACACAGAGAAACCCTGTCTCGAAAAACCAAAAAAAAAAAAAAAAAAAAAAAAAAAAAAAAAAAGCAAATGGAAAAATGTACCTAAATAATACAAATATACAAAGTTAGACGCCACTTAAGCCTTACTAGTCACCAGTAACTGCTGTTTAAAATTCTTGTGTATAAATGGAATCTTCTTCCGAGGTTTGGCTTTTAAGATTTTATTTTTATTTTTAACTATATGTGTATGTGTCTGTGGGTTTGTGTAAGTGAGTGCAGTGCCATCAGATCCCATGGAGCTAGACTTTATAGGCGGCTGTGAGTTGCCTGAGGTAGGGCAGGGAACCGAACCCCAGTCTCTCTAGAAGGGCAGCAAGCACTCTAAAGCACAGAGCCATGTCTTCATCTCTTCAGTGCCCGCTTTTGTGAGAATAATATTTGCTATTTTTATTATTCCTTTTGCAGACATAGATAGCTGTTTTGCTCTTACGACTGTATATTGTTTGATATTTTTGTATGTTTTTCAATTGTTTTTTTTTATCAGCAATTAGGAAGCATTTTAATAACTCTAAATTAGCACTGGGCGGTGGTGGCACACACTTTTAATTCCAGCACTCGGGAGGCAGAGGCGGGTGATCTCTGTTGGGTTCGAGGTCAGCCAGGGCTACACATGAAACCCTGTCATGAAACCCCCCCCCCAAAAAAAATTACAATTAAAAAGAAAATAATTCTAGGATAGCCCAGCAATAATAGGCATTTTACTCCACACGCTCCCGTTAATAAACTGCTAGGTTGCTTCTAGGTCTTTGTGTTTGCAGACGACTCAGAGGAGCATTTCTCCCCACAACTCTTTCTTCTTCATGTCAAGTAATGTCCTTATGTAAGGACATTAGGATAAAGGAAATAGAGTTGTTGTTTTGTTTTGCTTTCTTTTTTTTGAGGCAAGGTATCTTAAGTCCCAGCCTAGCCTTGAACTCCCTATGTAGCTAAGAGTGACTGACGTCTTGCTTCCACCTCCCACGCACTGGGATCATAGGCATGTACCATAACTACAGGCGATGCTTTTTTTTTTTCCAGGCTACTAAAAAGCTTGGTGTGGTAGTGCATGCCTGTGATTCCAACACTTGGGAAGGTGAGCCTGGAGGATTGTAAGCTTGAGGCTGGAATATGCTGCCTTGCAACACTTTCTGAGAGAGAGAGAGAGAGAGAGAGAGAGAGAGAAAGCCAGGCATGGTAGTAGATACCTATAGTCATAAAACTTATGAGCTAGAAGCAGAAAGATTGGGAGTTCAAAGTTGTCCTTGGCTAGGTATTAAATTCAAGACTAGCCTGGGGTACATGAGACTCTTTCCAAAATCATTTCTCAAGCATATTAGGCTTTATGCTTGAGAGGCAATAGACCAGAGAACTATTGAAAGTTTGAGGCCAGCCTGGGTCTACATAGTGAGTTCCAAGCCCAAGAAGGCTATGTAATAAGACTCTGTTAAAAAAAGAAAAAGAGGCCGGGCGGTGGTGGCGCACGCCTTTAATCCCAGCACTCGGGAGGCAGAGCCAGGCGGATCTCTGTGAGTTCAAGGCCAGCCTGGACTACCAAGTGAGTTCCAGGAAAGGCGCAAAGCTACACAGAGAAACCCTGTCTCGAAAAAACCAAAAAAAAAAAAAAAAAAAAAAAAAAAAAAAAAAAAAAAAAAGAAAAAGAAGCTGGGTGGTGGTGGTGGTGGTGGTGGTGGCGGTGGCACACACCTTTAATCCCAGCATTGGGGAAGCATAGGTAGGTAGATCTCTGAGTTCGAGTAGACTTTGAGTCTCCATCTCTAAGTAGACTTTGCCAGCCTAGTCTACAGAAGGAGTTCCAGGGAAACCCTGACTCGGGAAAAAAAAGAAAAAAGAAAAAAGAAAAAGAAAAACAACAACAACAATAAAACATACACACACACACACACAAAAAAAAAAAAGAAACAAGGAAAGACAAAGAGAGTGTTGTTCTCTGTTTCCATGTATGGGCTATGGGACACCATACCCATTTGCTGTGTGTTGGGGACACAGACCTTCTGAAGGGAGGAAAAGAAATCAGAAAAGCGGGGAGGTCAGGTTGGCGTGCCGGAGGGAACACTTCGCATTCAAAGAATCCACTCTGCCTGCCGACTCTCCCTCTTCTCTGACAGCGCAACAGCCACGGCCAGTCACTGGACCTTCCTTGGTTGCTGGTGTGATGCCTTCTGCTTCTTCATACGCCGTATCATGTGTTTCCCACAAGAACTCTGGGAAGTTGGTGATCTTATCCCCACTTGACAGATGGGGAAAGCGAGGCAGAGGGGGAAACGCCTTTCCCAGAGTCATGTGGCTGGCAAGTGGTACAGTGGAGATTAGAATCAGGTAGGTAATCCAGCTCTCTTTTCATGAATTTACAAGTTCAGACTCCTGTTTTACAGGTTGAAAAACTGAGGCCTGGAACAGGGCTCCAAGCCAGGGCGAAGAAACACAGCCTAAGTAGACTTTGCCTCTCTTACTTATTTATGCCCTCCATCGTCTACTCCCAAGGTATGGATGGGTCTAGGGACTTAAGGCAGCAAAACACCGCCTTATAAAATTTCTCTGTGGGGCCTGGGTTCCAGAGCCTTTCAGAGCCATAGCCTAGTTGCTCATTCCCCCTCCGGGTCTGGGGACTTGCCTGTCCATCGTAAAAAAAGGAAATAGCAGTTTACGCCCCACATGCCCAGACACGGAGGAAAACCACACAGACAGAGCCATCCCGCCACAGGGAATGGAGCTTAGACACCCAGCAGAGAGGCGAAGGAAAGGAGAAATACCCGAGAAACAGGACTTGGGGCAGAATCCTGAAAATATGAAGAGGAGAGGTGTCTGGAAGACGGCCATTGGGAATAAGCCGGCCTCACACAGGGAGGGAGGCTAATGCCTGGCCCGAGTTCCTACTCCAGAGAATTGTGGAGTGAGTGGCTGACTTGGAAGTTCCTGCTGCTGGTTGTTTTGGAATTGTTGTTATTGTCATTTTGGGACGGGGTTTCGTGTAGCCCGGGATGGCCTCAAAGTCACTGTGGAGCAGGATGTACCCTTGAACTTCTGATTCTCCTACCTCCACCTCCCCAGGGATGGGATTGTAGGTGTGTGTGTCACCACATCTGATTTACACTCCACCACGGGCACTACATGCCCAGCCTTTGCAGTGGGGGAGTTGCGGGGAGCTTCCCCAGGCCACTCAGCTGGCAAGTCTGGGGTTTGGCCCCTGCCTCCGAGCTCAGGCTCCCTGTCCTGTCATTGTCTCTGGACTGGAGGTCAGAGCTCTCAGAAGGTAGAATTCTGAATCTTTTTTTTTTTTTTCTTACAAGGGGCCGAGTTGCTCTTGTGTCAAGGATGAACGGGCAGGCGGTAGGATGAAAATTCCAGAAACGCCAGGCCAGGGTCCCAGGTATCCATTCATCATCCATCCACCCATCCATCCTTCTGACAGACCACTCATGGACTCACAGAGACCCATCATCTGTGATCACATTAATCACGAAGACATGCTGGCTAATACTTCCTTCCATGCTGGAGAGACGGCTCACTGGGTAACGGTACCCGCCATCAAACCTGACGACCTGAGTTTGATCCTCAGAACCCATGTGGTGGAAGGAGAGAACCAACTCCTGCCATGGTATACTCACCTCCTCTCTCTCTCTCTCTCTCCCTCTCCCTCCCTCTCCCTCTCCCTCTCCCCCTCCTCTCTCTCTCTCTCTCTCTCTCTCTCTCTCTCTCTCTCTCTCTCGCTCTCTCTCTCTCTCTCTCTCTCTCTACCTCCCTCTCTCTCAATGTTAAAAAAAAGGAATCTTCCTAGGTGGAAGAGATGGCTTTGTGGTTAAGTATACTTACTGCTTTCGCAGAGGACCTGAGTTGGTTCCGAGCACCCATGGCAGGTGGTTCACAACCACCTGTAACTCCAGTTCCAGGGGATCTGAATCTCTCACCTGGCACCGGCCCACACACATATACATATACACATAGTTAAAAATAAACCTTTTTTTTTTTTAAAGTTCTTAGCTGGGTATTGTGACACACGCCTTTAGACCCAGCACTTGGGAGGCAGAGGCAGGCAGATCTCGGTGAGTTCGTGGCCAGCCTGGTCTACAAAGCGAGCTCCAGGACAACCAGGGCTACACAGAGAAATTCTGTCTTGAAGAGCAAAAAAAGAAAGAAACAGAAAAAAAAAAAAACACTTAGAACTGGCTCTCATCTAGGGAATAAATGCTTGTTACTATTACGCTCACTTGTCAATCAAAGGCGTGCTCAGTGGGATCCTGCGGCTCGAATGAGTTGCCGCGGAACAAACAGTTGTGTTGAGGATCAGGTCTGAGACCACTGAGCCTCCTGTTCCTTGACTCTGTTTTCAGGGGACACTAGAATCTGAGGACCTGCTAGACATGACCTGAGGTGTCGTTTACACCGAGACAGACATTTTCCCATTTCCTGGAGGCACTGGTCGCTGACAGCTCACAGGTTAATCCCTGTCTGTCCTACCGCTGAGGAAAGCCACACTCCCTCCTCTCTGTCACCCCTGTCCACGGACTGATCCACGCAGGTCTCATTGCTCAGTCCCCTCACGTCAGCACAGGTCAACCCCGACAGCCCGTGAGAGCTTCAAAGCCGCTGCTGAGACCATATGCATCCCCACTCTTCCCTCTACCACATCCTGACCCTCCCCTCCCCTCTCCTCCCCTCCCCTCCCCTTCTCTCCCTTCTTTTCTCCCCTCCCCTCCCCTCCTCTCCCCTCCCCCCTTCCTTTCCCCCATTACGTCACCTCCTTAGGTCAGATCTACACTTTTGGAGCATCAGGCTCTCCCTTGACCCATGGTGACATGCAGAGTGTGGAAGTGAGTTGTTTTCCCAGGAGAAACCACCTTAGCCTTTGGGCCCGTCTGGCCTTCCACAAGGGTGCCTGATGTCTCCTACCACAGTGGAGGCTGTGTAATTATGGTTAAGAGAAAGAAATTATGGTAGAATTCCTGCCTAGAATGCATGAGGCCACAGGTTCAATTCCCAGAACAGCACTTAAGAAGGGGGGGGGGGGGGAGAAATAGTGCCAGGCATGGTAGTGCGTGCCTGTAATGGTTTTACTTTGTGTGTGTGTGTGTGTGTGTGTGTGTGTGTGTGTGTGTGTGTGTGTGTGAATCCCAGTGCACCATGTGCCATGCTTTGCATGTGGAGGTTAGAAGACAGCTTTGCTGGACGGCAGTGGCACAGGCCTTTAATCCCAACACTCCAGAGGCAGAGGCAGAGGCAGGCAGATCTCCGAGTTCAAGGCCAGCCTGGTCTACAGAGAGAGTTTGAAGATAGCCAGGGCTACATGGAGAAACCCTGTCTTGACAAACGAAAACAAAACAAAACAAAACAAAAAAAGAAGACAACTTTGAGAAGCCGTTTTTCTCCTCTGCTGTGGGTTCCAAGGGTCACACCCAGAGGCTGTCGGGCTTTGGTGGGAAGCCCATTTACCCACCAACCCACCGACGACGACGTGTCCTGCCAGTCCAAATGCTTAGAATCCTGACTCGAGTCAGGCGGAGGGAGGAAGAGCAGTTTGAATTTAGCAGTGGAAGCCTGAGCAGCAAACAAGCTGTGGACTGAAACTATGACTTCAGAGCTCACCTTGGGTTTTTAGCTGTGTGACGTCCATTGGTTTACTCTAGGAAAAGCAGTGTATCCAAATGCACTGCCGGGGAGAGCGGGCTGGGCATTAACGAAGATACTGCCAGCAAACCTGAGCTGTGTGATTTTACCAGCACACCCTCTCTGATCCGGTCTCTAAAGTAGGATTACTATATTTTTTTTATTTATTTATTCATTTTTTTTTTTTTTTGAGACAGGGTTTCTCTGTGTAGCCCTGGCTGTCCTGGAACTCGCTCTGTAGAGACCAGGCTGGTCTCAAACTCAGATCTGCCTGCCTCTGCCCCCCGAGTGCTGGAATTACTCTACAACCACCGCCCGGCTTATATTTTAATATTTTATTGTATTTGTGTATGTGTGTGTGTATGTGTGTGTGTGTGTGTGTGTGTGTGTGTGTGTGTGTATGTGTGCACACACCGAGGTGCCTGTGTGGAGGTCGGAAAACAACTTGTAGGAATGAGTTCTCTCCTTCCACCGTGTGGGTCCTGGGAAGTGAATTCAGGTCCTTAGCCTCGGCAGCAATTGCCTTTACCAGCGGAGTTATTTGCAGGCCTTGCAAAGTAGGATTTTAATAGCAATACCATTGAAGGTTTTGTTGTGAGTACCTGTTCCAGAGGAGCAAAGAGCCTAGAGAGACAGGATTTTCTAGCCCAGTGGTTCTCGACCTTCCCTAACGCTGCTGCGACCCTTCAATACAGTTCCTCATGCTGTGGTGACCCTCCCCACAACCATAGAATTATTTTTGTTGCTACTTCATAACTGTAATTTGCTGCTGTTATGAATCGTAATGAAAATATCTGTGTTTTGTGATGGTCTTAGGCAACCCCTGTGGAAGGGGCCTTGACACAGGTCGAGAACCACTGTTCCAGAGGAAAGTGCTTTTGTCAAATGCTTGCCTTGAGAAGCAGGTGCTGTCGTGCCCATTTTACAGACGGGGAGACTGAGGCTCTGCAAGGTGAGTAACTTGCCTCAAATCACACAGTAAGTGAATGACAAGATCAGATCTGGGATGCTGGCCTGATTCTGCTCCCTTGTCTTCCTCACCACCCTCTGGTCACCGGGCTGGACCAACAAGCTTCTGGATTGTCCCATCCTCTCCTTTATGCAGACTCACACTGCCTGCATCTGCGTCTCCCGAGCCGCCTAGAGAATACGTCTGGGTGTGCAGGCGGCCAGACTTTACAGGGCGAGGGTGAGCATTTCTCTGTCTCTCTGTAGGAAGAACCACAGGTGAGGCAGCTACCTGGTTGAGCTGGGGTGGGGTGAGGGGTGGGGCAGATGATTCTCAGAGGAAGGTGGGAAGTTCAAAAGGCAATTCCTGCTTCTGTCTCATACCCGTAAACAGATAGTTAGGGCTCTGACAGCAACAGCACACAGACAAAAGGCAGACAGAAACAGCTCACATAAGGAAGCGGGGCATAGCCTCCGCCCAGAGTGGGAATTAAATGTTTTCCTGAAAGCAGAAAGGAAAACCACGATTAAAGCCAAGCTGTGACTCGAAGTCTGCCTCCGTGACATCGTAAGTGTAGTGAGTAAAGGCCCTTAATTTGTACCTGTGTGTTGTGAACCTTAGTCTTACGGGACGTTCTTTCTTGACCTAAGTGTGTGAAACAAAAGTAATAATTAGGAGTGAGTCTTCGGCGCACACTGTCATTTCAAAGATGCGTGGATGGTTTTTATATTTATATTGATCTGTTTCTGTACGTGTGTGGAGAGACTGTGGGAGAGTGTGCGTTGGCCTGGGTCTATTAGTCAGAACTCTTGATTGAGAGAGAAAAATGATGAGAACAAAAGAAATCAATAGTGTAGCCCAGTGTGGCGGCGCATGCCTTTAACCCCAGCACTCGGGAGGCAGAGGCAGGAGGATCTCTGTGAGTTTAAGGCCAGCCTGGTCTACATAGTAAATTTTAGCCTAGCAAGGGTAACATAGTGAAACCTTGTCTCAAAAATAAATAAATGATCTGGCGATGGTGGTACACGCCTTTAATCCCAGTACTAGAGAGGCAGAGAGACAATCCCTGAGTTCGAGGCCAGCCTGGTCTACAGAGAGAGTTCCAGGATAGCCAGGGCTACAAAGAGAAACCTTGTCTTGAAAAACCCAAAAACAAACAAACAAACAAACAAACAAACAAACAAATTTAGTAATAATAAGTATTCTGCCAGATGTGGTGACCTTAGATTGTAATTCTGGTACTTAGGAGGTTTGAAGCAAAAGAATTAGCTGTTCAAGGGGGGTCATCCTCAGCTACATAGCAAGTCTGAGGCCAGCCTGGGCTTCCTGAGACCCTGTAATAATTATTATTCCTTACTGGCCCACACTTGGATCCAGGAGCTCATGGATATGAGCGCCTTGCCTCGTCTTGCCTGTTTTTTCCCAGTGGGAAAATTGCGTCTCTCTGGGATAAATGTCAGGCTCTCTCTAATTGGCTCTAATTTGGTCACATGCACATTCTTCAGCTAACTTTGCGTCTTGGTTGGATCATCCACCTGTGGCTCAACGCAGAGGTTGTGTGGAGGAAGCGCCATCAGCAGGGTAAGGATTGACACAGGAGAGAGGGGCTTCCTAGAGGAAACAGCAGGGCTGAATCCGGAAGTCACATACCCACCTTGTTCCTGTTAGTCCCCTAAGGAAAAGCTGTAATGAACGATGATGATGATGATGGTGGTGGCACCATTGCTTGAGCACCCACTGCGTGCTGGGCACCATGCCAAATATTGTAGGGTTCTCTTCGGCACTCCTCACAGCAGCCTTTGCTTGTCACTTACCTTCATTTTGACCGAGAGTTCAAGGAATTGGCCCAAGTTCATGTAGATAGTAAGACATGAGGTTAGGTGGTTATTTCCCAAATCCTAAGCTCCTGGCTTCCCTGGGAACCCCACAGAGTCTGAGTCTCTCTCTCTCTCTCTCTCTCTCTCTCTCTCTCTCTCTCTCTCTCTCTCTCTCTCTCTCTGTCTCTCTCCCCCTCATATCTCTGTCTGAGTAGCTTCATGTCAAAGGGCACACCCAGGGTCTGCTAAGGGACCACAGACCACGTCGCAAGACGCAAGACTGTAAGGAATAATATGGGGATGGCAAACCACAGAGTCATTTATGACCCCCGGAGGGCTTGTCCTAGGGAGGCCCCTGCACACCAGAAGTTTGACATCAAGGGAAGAATGATCTAAGGACCGGGAGCATGCAAGAGCCCCGCTTTCCTTGGTACCATCTCTCCACCCACCAAGAATGACGGCAAAGGGTGTGCCATGCAGGGATGCGCTAGGACCGACTTCCTGTTCTACTAGCCTGTGATTTGCATCCTTGAATAAACTTGCTTAATGTCTGCCAGACTCAACATCCATGAAATGGGCACAATAGCATCTTCCTTAAGGGTTATGGGAATCTTTTTTTCTCTCTCTCCCCTCTTCCCCTCCCTCCCTCCTCCTTCCCTCTCTTCCTGGCGGTTCTGGGGATTGTATGCTGATTCTTTTCAAATAAGACCTACTTAGGTAGGTGTGGCCACTCACATCTGTAATCCCAACACGTGAGAGGCTGAAGCAGGAGGATCGCAGTAAGTTTGAGGCCAGCCTAGAAGAAGGTCCAGGCCAGCCAAGGCTACACAGAGAGACCTGCTTGTCTCCCAGTGACTGCTGCTCGCCAGCTGCTTCCTTGCCTCACACACCATCCCTCTTCTCCTCGCTGGGGGAGACTTTAGCAAAAGCAAGCAGAAATGGCTAGTCACCTTTGCCCGTTGGGGCCAACCTGCTGGACCTTGCTCCCTTTCTCCAGCATCAGCCGCTCTCGAGACACAACAGGAGCGTATTGCCGTCCAGTCCCTGAGTTCTGAGTTCAAGTGCCAGCTCGGCCTCTCTCTTCCTAACCTTGTTTGCACCTCCTTCCAGGTGAGAAGGCACATTCCCCTTGAGATCTGATGCAAACCCTAGTTGCAGAGCTGCCTGCCCCGTGGGGACTTGTTTATTCACTGGGTTTCAGGGACAAGGCTGAGTGAGCCAGGCTGCTTTGGGGCAGGACCAGGGAAGGGTCTGGTAAGCAGAGGGGCCCTCGCTCCTCCACGTCCCATCTCCTGAATAATTCATGACAAATAAAATGGCCAGACCTGGGCCCTCCCTTCTCCTGACAGGGAAGGGAGAAAAGTTTCTAATTACAGATCAGCCTGCCTGACTCCCCCGGGCCCCTGGGCGCTGCACACAGGGGGTATTTATGGGACGAGACTGGAGGGGAGGGGCTCTGTCACAGCCCCTTTCCTGAGGAACTCAACCCCACTTGAAATTGTAGCCTTGCCCAGACTAAGTGGGGGGAGGACCAGGGTGGGGTAGGTGAGGAAACTTAGACTCCATGGGCAGGAAGAGAGAAACCTTCGGAGAGGGCAGGGAAGAAGCATCCAGAAAAAAACGTCAGCTCTCGGGAAGACTCAGCGGACAGGGGTGATGGGATCTGAAGGGAAAAGCTTTGTAGAAGTCCTGTCTCCAGCAGTGACGCCTGGGTAACCTGGCTCCAAAGCCAGCTCCTTTAGATCTACCATAACATCTGTAAAATGGGAGCTTGCCCTACCTCACATCACGCCTGGGGACTTACGAGAGTTGATGTCTGCCCAGTGCTCAGAACCCCGCCGCCGCCGCCGCCTGGTACTCAAACTAAAAATACACCCGAGTGAGCCTGGGGAGGTGGCTTAATGGGTAAAATGCTTGCCACACAAGCGTGGTGGCCTGAGTTTGGATCCCCAGCAGCCACAGGAAGGCTGAGTGTGGTGGTGGTTGCCCCTAATCCCAGGGCTGGTGCGGTGGTGGCAGAGGGAGAGACAGGAGGAGGGGCAGGGCCTGCTGGCCAGGAAGTCGCGCCAAAATGGGTTGCTCCAGGTTGAGAGAAGCCATTTCCAAAAAGAAAGCGATCTAAAGCGACCTCTGATCTCCACACCCATATACACACAGGCCAGTGCACCTCCCCAACATGCGCATACATATGCATGCATATATGTTAGCAATAGCGTAGTTTTAGTTGAGCGCATGTATGTATATATAATAGTACATACACTATTATATGTTATATTTACCTTATACTACATCTCTGGAGAAGACAGGGAGAGTGAAGATGACCAGAAGGTAGGATGAAGGAAATTGCTGAAGGAAAGATAAGAGGCAGTTTACCACGATTCACAGAGGGCCCGTTGGACTGAGTACAGCGTGTAGCAGAGAGCTTCCCTGGCGTTGTGCAAGGTCCTGGGTTCCACCCCCAGACACCCTTTCAAGAACAAGAAAGATTATTTTTCCTTCAGGCATGGAGGGGCACACCTTTAATCCCAGCACTCAGGAGCCAGAGGCAGGGGGATCTCTGTGAGTTTGAGGCCAGCCTGGTCTCCAGATTGAGTTCTAGGACAGCCAAGATGACACAGTGAGATCCTGTCTCAATAAAATAAAAAGTTTAAAAATAAATAAAAAGCAAGCATGATCTTCATATGTTATACCATTATGTGTGTGTGTGTGTGTGTGTGTGTGTGTGTGTGTGTGTGTGTGTGTTTTAAACAGTTTCTCTGTTTGGTCTACACTGGTCTCAACTTTGGAATCCTCCTGTTCTCCACTTCCTGAATGTGCTGGGATAACAGGCATATGCCACCACAGCTGGCCCATGATAGTAATTCTTTTAAAAGAATAAAAGCCGGGCTGTGGTGGTGCCTGCCTTTAATCCCAGGACTCGGGAGGCAGAGGCATTGCGGATCTCTGTGAGTTCAAGGCCAGCCTGGTTTACAGAGTGAGATCCAGGACAGTCAGCGCTACACAGAGAAAACCAGTCTCGAAAAACAAAATAAAACAACATAAAGGAGTGGGCTTGGGCTGCTGCTTACTAGATAGAGTGCTTGTCCAGCATAAAGTCCTAGAATGGACCCCCAGAACCACGTAAATCAGGCATGGTACTGCACACCTGTGACCTCGGATCGTGGGAGATGGAGGCGGAGGATCGGGGGTTCCAGGTCATCTTCAGCTACATATTGAGTTCAAAGAGACCTTGTCTGGAGAAACTCCCAAGACTAGGCTGCCTGGGTTCAACTCTGACTTTCTGTGTGTCGTCTTGGGAAAGTTACTGTATTCAAACCCAGGAGTCTATGGAGGCCATGCCTATTCAAACCGCAACACTCCTTGACTTGACATCTTCAAGGGAGAGGTCATAATAATCAAGAGCATTTATTGCATACCTACAGCATGCAGGTTCAGTGCTCCTTGTGAACCTGCTCTCAACTAAATCAGGAAGCGTCTACCTTCACTCTACAGAGGAAGAGGCTGAAATGGAAGGACCTTGGGAGCAGAGCAGGATGTAAGGGCAGGCATTCACCCACCAGCACAGGCCGACCATCGAACCGCGTTCACAAAAACGAGCTAAACACGGAGTTCTTGTAGGATTTCCGTGTCTATGAAATTCTAGAAAAATGCAAACTAATCTATAGGGAGAGAAAACTGATGATAGGGTTGCCTTGGGAACAGGGGGGAAGGACACTGACTGTCAGGGGCACGTGGGGTGTTTTCTGGGAGATGGCAATGTTTTTCATATGACAGTGAACTGCTCCGGTATGTGCTGTTGTCAATGTTCATTGAACTAGACACTCAAAATGGGTGTCTTTCCTTGCTTATAAATTATTCTTCAGTGAAGCTGATTGTTTTTTTAAACAAGGAAATATAGCTGTGTACCAGACTCCAGGTCCCTGTAACCCATCTTATGTTATTTGAGCGTCTGATTTCGACCTCATTTTCATGCAGAAACTGTATCAGATTCTCGGCCAAATTCTTTTTTTAAAAATTTTTTAATGACTTATTTTTATTTTATGTACATTGGTGTTTACTTGCATATATGTCTGTGTGAGGGTGTTGGATCCCTTGAAATTGGAGCTAGACAGTTGTGAGCCACCATGTGGCTGCTGGGAATTGAACCCGGGTCCTCTGGAAGAGCAGCCAGTGCTCCCAACTGCTGAGCCATCTCCCCAGCCCCCGGTGAATTCTTTTAAAAAATATTTATTTTGTGTATATGTGAGACTGTATGTATGTATGTCTGTGTATCGCATGTCTGCAGGGCCCAAGCAGCCTAGAAGGCGACAGATCCCTTGGCACCGAGGTTAAAGATGGTTGTCCACCTCCATGTGGGTGCTGAGACTTGAACCCTGGTCCTCTGCAAGAGCAGCCTGTGCTCTTAACCCTGAGCCATCTCTCCAGACCCTCAGCAAAATTCTTTTTTGTTTTGAGACAGGGTTTCTCTGTGTAGCCCTGGCTGTCCTGGAACTCACTCTGTAGACCAGGCTGGCCTCAAACTCAGCTCTGCCTGCCTCTGCCTCCCAAGTGCTGGGATTAAAGGCGCTAACTACTCCAAGTTTAGCAAACATTTTTTGCCTGTCAGTGCTGGGGATAGACCCAGAACCCAGGCAAGTCTTTCATCATTGAGCCACACTCTCAGTCCCTGGCCCTCAGCTTGATTCTTAAACCCAAGATTCAGATCAATAAATAATTCACAGCCACCCTGGTTTTGCTGAATGCCAAGGTCACCGTGTCTGGTGGGGAAACAGACAAAGACGGACACATGGACTCAGTGCAGGGTGATAAACGGACTAACGGGGCAACTCGTTACTAGGCCACACTAGTATTCACAGATCTGCCCCTTGCTAGCGCTGTGCGTTTGGGGGTTACCGCCCTCAGCATACCAGACCTCCATTTCCATCTCTGAAAATTGGAGGTCACCACGCAAGCTCAAATCTGGAGAATGCTGTATGAGTTGAAGGAACCTGGGGTAGGGCATGTGCTACACTTCTGCAGAGCAGGGGGGAATTACCAATTTGAAGCTAGCCTGTGCTATACAGAGTTCAAGCCCAGCCTGGGCTACATACACACTGAAGCCCTGTCCTAAAAACAAACAAACAACAAAACAAAACGCACAAAAAAAAGCAAAAAAAAAAAAAAAAAAAAACAAAAAAAACAACAAAACAAAACAAAAGGAAAACAAATAAAAAAAAAGGATCCAGCCGATGTCAAATGCTTGGGGGCCCTAGGCATAGAAAGTGCTAGGTAATTGTTAGCTGTCCTTATTGTGATTGAAGAGCTGGGGGCTGGAGAAGGGCACAGAGCGGGGGAGGGGGGCTCCCTGCCCAACCTGAGGTGGGAGATGGGCCAAAGATGCTTTCCCAGAGAGGTGATGATACTCGGAGAAAGGATTGGCGGGTTCAAGTGGTCTTGGGAGTAGGAGGGAACGGGAACAGCTTGGAGCAAACGCTCAATAAATATTTACTCAATAAATAAATTAAAAAAAAAAAAAGGAAAGACTATTCGAGGAGGCCTGCCGGTAACCAGG